TCATGCAGAAGGAGTAACTGGGAACAAGCTGTGTTTAGGGTTAGGCTGGCTAGTAAGTACAAGTAGGGAGGAGTGACTGGAAACAAGCTGTGTTTAGAGTTAGGCTGGCTAGTAAGTACATGCAGGGAGGAGTGACAGGGAACAAGCTGTGTTTAGGGTTAGACTGGCTAGAAAGTACTTGTAGGGAAGAGTGACTGGGAACAAGCTGTGTTTAGGGTTAGGCTGGCTAGTAAGGACATGTAGGGAGGAGTGACTGGGAACAAGCTGTGTTTAGGGTTAGTCTGGCTAGTAAGTACATGTAGGGAGGAGTGACTGGAAACAAGCTGTGTTTTGGGTTAGGCTGGCTAGTAAGTACATGTAGGGAGGAGGGACTGGGAACAAGCTGTGTTGAGGGTTAGGGTTAGGCTGGCTAGTAAGGACATGTAGGGAAGAGTGACTGGAAACAAGCTGTGTTTTGGGTTAGGTTAGGGTTAGGCTGGCTAGTAAGGACATGTAGGGAAGAGTGACTGGAAACAAGCTGTGTTTTGGGTTAGGCTGGCTAGTAAGTACATGTAGGGAGGAGTGACAGGGAACAAGCTGTGTTTAGGCTTAGACTGGCTAGAAAGTACTTGTAGGGAAGAGGGACTGGGAACAAGCTGTGTTTAGGTTCAGGGTTAGGCTGGCTAGTAAGTACATGTAGGGAAGAGTGACTGGAAACAAGCTGTGTTTTGGGTTAGGCATGCTAGTAAGTACATGTAGGGAAGAGTGACTAGGAACAAGCTGTGTTTAGGGTTAGGCTGGCTAGTAAGTACATGTAGGGAAGAGTGACTGGAAGCAAGCTGTGTTTTGGGTTAGGCATGCTAGTAAGTACATGTAGGGAAGAGTGACTGGAAGCAAGCTGTGTTTTGGGTTAGGCATGCTAGTAAGTACATGTAGGGAAGAGGGACTGGAAACAAGCTGTGTTTTGGGTTAGGCATGCTAGTAAGTACATGTAGGGAAGAGTGACTGGAAGCAAGCTGTGTTTTGGGTTAGGCATGCTAGTAAGTACATGTAGGGAAGAGTGACTGGAAGCAAGCTGTGTTTTGGGTTAGGCATGCTAGTAAGTACATGTAGGGAAGAGTGAATAGGAACAAGCTGTGTTTAGGGTTAGGCTGGCTAGTAAGGACATGTAGGGAAGAGTGACTGGAAACAAGCTGTGTTTTGGGTTAGGCATGCTAGTAAGTACATGTAGGGAAGAGTGAATAGGAACAAGCTGTGTTTAGGGTTAGGCTGGCTACTAAGTACATGTAGGGAGGAGGGACTGGGAACAAGCTGTGTTGAGGGTTAGGGTTAGGCTGGCTAGTAAGTACATGCAGGGAAGAGTGACTGGGAACAAGCAGTGTTTAGGGATAGGGTCAGGCAGGCTAGTAAGTACATGTAGGGAGGAGTGATTGGGAACAAGCAGTGTTTAGGGTTAGGGTCAGGCTGGGTAGTAAGTACATGTAGGGAGGAGTGACTGGGAACAAGCAGTGTTTAGTGTTAGGGTTAGGCTGGCTAGTAAGTACATGTAAGGAGGAGTGAATGGGAACAAGCTGTGTTTAGGGTCAGGCTGGCTAGTAAGTACATGTAGGGAGGAGTGACTGGGAACAAGCTGTGGTATGGTTAGGCTGGCTAGTAGGTATATGTAGGGAGGAGTTACTAGAAACAAGCTGTGTTTAGGGTTAGGCTGGATAGTAAGTACATGTAGGGAGGAGTGACTGGGAACAAGCTGTGGTTGTCTATTATAGGGAACAGCAGAATCCGTCTGTGTTTATTGTTTATTTGAGCATTGAACTACTTTCAGTTTGCTAGCGCGTTTCATTGAATTTACCTTTGTCTATTTGGAATTGATGTCACCTATGAATGCCAACTAAAAGCAGTTCAATACTTATATTTACATTTTTTTTTTGGAATCTGTTCAATCAGCCCCTGACATTCATAGCCTATATGAATGCCAACTTAATTTTTAAGGGTTTTATAGTGGCTTGCCATGGTTGGTAGATTTATAGAGAACATCATAAGCTTGTTTTGTTTGTTATCTATATACATGCAGGAAACATCATTATCTTACTGTGTTCATTGTTAGTAAAGGGAAATTAGCCGTGTTTTGTCTAGATTATAACTGTTTATTGTCTATATAGAGAACAGCATGATATGTTTGTTGTCTGTTTGATAAATACATATCATTCCCCTAACCACTAACTCTATATCTCATAGGAAAACTCAACACGTATAAACATTTACAATTTTATTACTAGTTGCATCATAGCGATAGGTACACGCCAATGAAATTAACCGTGTTTTGTCTATATATGGAACAACAGGGTGTGTTTGTTGTCTATTTGATTAATACATGATTTATCATACTCTCCACGTCATACTTCCCATCATGGGCGTGCCATGCAAACAAGCGGTTGCCAACAGCGACGATTTTTTCCCTATATCAGAACATATCACTGAATACTTGCAGTAATTTTATACAATAATAAGTCGTTCCCATACGAACAACGTCACCGACAATTTACGTAAATTTACAATATCCGAAAATAGATCAAGCCATATGCGTTTAAACATAATTAAGATAGCCTATGCCTATGATTGTGATTGCATTACGACCTTGTTGCGTGGCTGAGTCAGTGCGTGGAGAACGACATATATTTCTCTATCAGACTTATCTAATAACAATACTTTAATGACCCTGATAGTTTATTTCTGGAAAAATTGGCTGGCCGTTGAACGCCGAGGACGCAATACCGTAACTTCATGTACACGCGATTAAAGACATATATTCTGTATGATTCATATAGTTAAGATGGTTCTCATAATTCTCCCTTGATATAGATCATACAGCAGAGACAGGACGGCAGCGAACACTTTTTTCGTAGCTGGAAAGACTATGAGGATGGGTTTGGTAACCTGACATCTGAACACTGGCTTGGTGAGTTGTCTACCCCTTAAAATGCATTTCCAGAATAAGTGAAACCAAGTCTTCGAAATCAAAAAAGAAAACAATTATGTTGCAAAACAATTTGCGCGGTATATCTCTATTTTTTCGATTTTCGAGCAACGTCTGTGTCGCTTAAATTGCACAACTATTTCATGCAAGCAATATGTTATTTTGATTTTCTTTGAATATCTGTAGTACATGCATCAAAAGCCATACTTGTTAAACCACATACTGAAATCAACTCAAACAACCATACCGAATATATGACCAAATTCATACCAGTCGCGAACCTTAAGTATTAAACTTCTATCCAAACCTCACTTGAGTGTAATTCAAATAAATAAAATTGCTAATTATATAATCTCTTCGACGTTACACTTCGTAAACGAATATATACCGGTAAGGCACAGGTACAATGGTAGGGAACGTCTTTGGTATTTAACAGGAAACAAGAACATCCACGCCCTGACTGCCAGTGGTGCGTACGAGCTTCGAGTTGTCCTCGAGGATTTTCAGATGAACCGGAAGGTGGCCAACTACCGCTCGTTCTCTGTGGGCGATGCCACCTCAAACACCAGCTGTCCGTTGACGGATACTCCGGGGACGCAGGTCAGGATCACATGACCTTTAAGATGTTGTAATGAGCTTGTAATCAGTATCGGTATAGCGTTAAGGTTCGATCATAATATTCAGTTAGATTTACGTTTTCTTTAAGCATACATATCGACATATGTCACTACGCGGCCAATGATATTATTACATTTCTATGAAGAGTAACGGTCTTGTTCCAACTGGGGACTCTTTCACGCATAACAACGACTATCTTCACAAACGTAACAAATGACGTTGTTTTGACAAATGACTCCCTTAAGCTTTATTAGGATAACTCGTTCCCTTGGTGACAAGTGTTGTTGATGGTGTTCCGTTATGATAACTCGTTCCCTTGGTAACAGTTGTTGATGACGTTGTTTCGTGATGATATATCGTTTTCTGAGTAACCGTTGTTGTTGATGGCGTTCCATAAGGATATATCGTTACTTTAGTAACTGCTGTTGTTGATGTTGCTTTTTTATAATATATCTTTCCCTCAGAAACCGTTGTTGTTGATGGCGTTCCATTAGATTATATTGTTCATTTAGTAACCGTTGTTGTTGGTGTTTTTTCGTTAGGCGATTCCCTCAAGTTTGACCACGACGGTCACGCCTTCTCCACAGCGGATGCCGACAACGACGGTGCCACTTCCGTCAACTGTGCCCAGACGCATTCTGGGGGCTACTGGTACAGTGACTGCTTCAAGTCAAATATCAACGGCAAGTATGGTATCAAAGCAGAGAACGGCATCATCTGGGGATCGTTCAAAAACTGGGAACTGTTCGTACTCAAGAAGACCGAGATGAAGATAAGACCGGTTCCAGTGAAATAAACATTAAAGTTTCCTTTGAATATCTACCAGAACTAGTATACGCGTCCGATAACTCTCACACCCACATGTAATTATATCCGTCGTCATTGTTTGTTCTTCAATGACATGTAAACATCCTAACTTAACTTATATTAAAAATTGGGCTAATTTCTGTACAGTGTCTATGTAATTTTTCTCGGCGTATCTTGCACTGTACATGCAAATGGCGGTAGGTTCCGGATGCACTGAAACTGCGAGTTAAAAAAAAAGGCGCAAATTCCGACCAGGACTATTGAAGGCACCGTTGGTATGGGCTGGAATAAACTTTTGACTCTGTATAGCTCATTTAAGTTTATATGCATGTACAAATAAGGCAATGACTGCAGCTTTGTATTGATAAACAATGCCTTAATATTATGGAAAAGTGATGGGACTCTCCACCTACAGTACACGCATATATTCTAGACTACGATACATTGACATGCTTTACACGAATACCCCATACTGAGAAACGTATTGCATTCCTGATGTCCGCGTAGGGATGGTCATTTGGTCTTTGTCAGCTAGTTCAGGTCATGTTTTTGAAACTTCAGAAGAATGAATTTAATTATCACAATAGAGGAATTCTACACTATAACTCAATTGGGCCATGGCGTTTGTAAAGTTGCATATAGACTAAAACAGATCATACAAGCTGTATTGGGAGACACACAAGAAATATTGGCGCCAACCAATGTGTTACAAGTACGACAAACTGTTTCATGAGTATTTGGTAAAATATTTAGATCAGCCGACAATTTGTTCATATTGTTTTAGATAGAACTGTGATTAACAAAAACCTATCCTAGTGACATCTGGGCCCGTATTCTCATTCCCATTCTCATGCTCAAGCATGGATTTTGTGCTCAAGCTTAATTTCTTGTTCTGGTTATAACTCAGTAAATAAATCTTATTTTGTCAATGAGTTGGAAACATTTTGAAGAGACTTATAGCCAAATACTATTTTCAATGTTTACCTTTGACTTTTTGATCGTTTCACATGATCTAAGCAGTAACCAGAAAGTTGGTTTGAGCACAGATTCCATGTTTGAGCATGAGAACGGTTTCATGAATACGGGCCCAGTACTGGATAAATAAATGTCAACCGGATTATCCAGTTCATGGTTATATCTGTAATTATATACAACCACCCAAGTAAATACTTAATGTGACCCATATCAGACCGAACATACGGGTATTAGGAGGCGATATCTTGGTTTTACATTCCCAGAACACCTACGCTTGAGCAGCCAAAGGTCAGCGCCACTGTTGTAACCTACTCAGAAACATGTACTATAGACCCGCGAGGCGTGTCTCATACCATGACTTTGATTGATTGATCTATTCCTTGTTTGAAGTATATAAATACATATTATGTATGTGTGTATATCTACAGTTAAATTTCCCCAGACATGTCTGCCATCTTGCCACGAGACTGCCTGAGGACGAGACAACAGCTGCAGTAAAAATGCATTATCGAATGTTCCCTTCAACATTACTCTCTCTCTCTCTCTCTCTCTCTCTCTCTCTATATATATATATATATATATATATATGGGGCAAAGATGTAATTCCAACAGTGTGGACAAGTTTTCGGAGCGATCCGCTCCTTTATCAAGACACAGTGAAACAGAACAGTTACATGTACATATACATCATATTACAAGAAGATAGAACTAATATACTATAATTGAAAATAAAGCTATTATATAAAACCAATAGTCCCCTCGGCTAAAGACGAAGGCAGCAATTAAGCTGAGAGCATCGCGGATAAGCAACTTTGACCCACACATATATATATAGAGAGGGAAAGAGAGGATATTTAATGGTGTCTTCAGTAATACCAAATATATTTCACGAGTGTGGCCTGCGCACTCGTGAAAAACATCAAAATATTAGTCACACGAGTTTTCTGCTATTTTCTGGTATGTTTGCTTATAAAAATGTTATTAATTGTATATTTATTTAAATACTTAAGTGTGTGCACCAAACATTTACCATTTTTGATTTAAACATTTTTTATTTGTCATTCAACAAAAAGGATTAGGCACAAGTTATCTCAACTTAGAAACGCCCTCTCCAATACATTTCATTATATTGATTACATGACAACAACAACAAATATATTTATAATATATATGAACAAAGAAGAAAGGAAGGGAAAAGGGAAGAAAAAGAAATTTAGAAGAATAAGAAAGAGAGATGATAGGATAATACTACTGACCTTAAAATCTTTTACTATTTTTAATGTAGGTTTGGACTATATGGAAGATATTTTCATTGTCTTCATCTGACAAATTTGGAGAACCGTACATAATAACATTTAGAGAAATATTACAATAACGTGAGATATCATCAATCATAATTTGTCTTTGTCTGATATACAGCATACAATCAAAAAAGTAATGAACTACATTTTCACACTCATTTCCACATGCACACATTGGATCACCTACAATATTAACTCTATACAAATCATAATTTAAACTACTACATGAATGACGCAATCGTGTATGTAAAATATTTAGTTTTCGATTTCCTACATGAAAAAAAATAGGCAACAAGTAACCTTGGTTACGCTTAATCGATGATTTAAAAATGTTAACGGATGGCTGCTCTCTGACAGTATTTGGTAAATCGTTCCATAGTCTTATAGAAGAAGGAATAAAGGATTGGAATGAACTAGACAGACGGAAATTGGGAACAGTGTAGTTTTCAGTATTTCTCAAGTTGTAGCTATTGCGTTCGCATACTTTAGGAGGAAGAATGTTAGTTAAATAAGAAGGTGTTTGTTTATTATGGAGTTTGTACATTAGGGAAAGTTTCTTAAGTTTTCTTCTTTCAGATAGAGGTTCAAGTTGGGATTCTTGATAAAGTGATTGTTTACTAGAAAAAGAGGGTAGGCCAGTAATAATTCTTGCTGCTTCAAGCTGAACTTGTTCAAGTTTAGTTAGATCTGCCAGAGAACAACCGTCCCAAACTTCACAGGCATATTCCAACACAGGCAACACAAATACTTTATATATTCTTAACAAAGTTTTCCTACTCAACAGTAATTTAAACTTTCGTAGTACTGATACCTTTTTCATGCATGTTTTTTGAATTTCGGAAATATGTAAAGACCATTTTGCATCTGCACTAAATATTACGCCTAAATGTTTATGACTTTCAACACAATTCAGAGTCTCAGTACCAAAACAAATCTGTAAAGGAAGTATATTTCGCGAATTAGATATAAATAACACATCAGTTTTCTGTTGATTAAATTTAGTAAGCCAGTCCCGTGACCATTTGTCAAGTTTTTCCAAATCTCTGTTTACACACATTTCAATATCATCATGAGAAGACGAAGAATACATCAAAGAGGTATCATCAGTAAATAAGCGTGAAATACTATTTAAATTATCAACAATATCATTAATATAAACCAAAAATAACAGAGGACCTAACACACTTCCTTGTGGTACACTAGCATTTGTGTAATCTATATTAGAATACACACCTTTAACAAGAACCTGTTGTTGTCTGTTTGAAATGTAATTTTTTAACCAATGTAGTAAACCATCTCTAATACCATAAGCATGCAATTTATGTAAAAGACCCCTATACCAAACTCGGTCAAAAGCCTTCGATATATCACAAAAAATTAGACAAGTATGTTTTTTTTCTTCTAATGAACAACATATATTATGGTAAATTTCTATTAGCTGATGGACAGTGGAATGATGAATCATAAAACCAGATTGTTTTTCGTAAAATAAAGAATGATCAAGGAAAAAATTATAGATGTGTTTAAATACAACCCTTTCAAAAACCTTACCTATACAAGACAACAAAGTAATTGGTCGGTAATTTGACACCAAGTGTCTATCACCCTTTTTGAACAGAGGTAAAATAATACCATGTTTCCATATTTCAGGGAATATTTTAGAATTTAGTGACATATTAAAAAGAATTGACAATGGCTTACATATAGAATTCGCTGTAAATTTTAGCATATGATGACTTATAGTATCATGACCAGATGCTTTTCCTAATTTCAGAATTTTCAAAATATCACATATTTCATCACTTTCAACCACAATAGAATCAAGTACAGAATCAGTTCTGGAATCAAAACTGGGTAAAGATTTGCCAATATCATCTATGTTTGAGATAGAGCTAAAATAATTATTTAGAATATTTGCTTTCTTATCATCATCATATTCAATATTTCCATTGCAAGGATTAACTAGAGGTGGAATAACCTCCTGAGAACCCGACTGTTTTAATAATTTACGCACTAGTCTCCAATATGACTTAGGATTACTGGTATTAAGATTATCTATAATATCACCAACACTATTATAAAACATTTCTCTTGCATATTTTTTCATATTATTAACCTTATTTCTTTGTCTTTTAAATTTCTCTAAGTTGGATATGGACTTAACACGTTTAACGGCGTTATGTAACCGGTCTCGTAACTGAAAAGCTTTTCTTAATTGGGAATTCATCCACAATTTATCACGAGGTCTTATATAAACTGGTTTTTTTAGGTATACATTCTTTAGCAAGTAAATTCAACACATGCTACATTAACAGAAATAAAGTTTTGAAAAAATGTAGGCCACTCAAAAGTATCTATTAAAAAATTTAACCTATTAAAATCAGCATGTCTCGAGTGTAGGTACAAGAGAGATTAACAGGTATAGACAAAAATGCAATACATGCATCATGATCACTTAGATTACGATCAATCGGAATTACATACGAATCAGTACATTTGGTAGGGTCAGTTAATAAAATAGGATCAAGTAAACTATTTCTGGTTGTTCCACGCCTAGTCGGCTCATTAATAACGTTAGTTAAGTCCATTTCCAACATGACTTGGTGTAAAATATGATTACGTGATAAAGTTAGCATATCTACATTTATATCACCAACACTAATAAGCTTTTTCAATCGAATACTTAAAATTCTCCCAAAAAGGGTGACGTGAATTTTCTGGTCTATAAACGGTACATATTAATACACTATTGTGACCTAATTCTACCATAGCAACCACTTATTCTACCGTCGCTTATTTGAATCTGAACAAAAAAATCGTTTCCTTTGATTGCAGCGAATAGAAGATACCGTAAATGATTGTTCAATGCCAAAAAGTGATATTTTCAAATCGACGGGCCGTATTCACGGAAACGTTCTCATGCTCAAACCCATATTCTGTGCTCAAGCCCAATATCTTGTTCCAGTGATCAATGTAAAATAAACATTGTGTCAATGATTTGGAAGAATTATGGAGTCTTAAAGCCGAACTATATTTTCAATGTTAACTTTTGAGGTTTTGATCGTGTCACATTATTTAAGCGAGTAACAGAGTTTGTTTCAGAACGCTTTCATGCCATTTCATACGTTTTCACGAAGCTATGACATGTTTAAAACGATGGTTACAAAAATAATATGAACACAAAAATCAATTTGAAGAACTTTATTGATCAAATGGTTGTTACTACACAAATTCGCAAACGCAAAACTGACCAGTACAAAATGAACAGAATTATGCATGTTGGTAATTTTACAGAACCTGTGGGTCAGTCTGTCCGAGTGTATAACTGACCACGACAGCGGTCAATGCATAATCAATCCATTTTGAAATGCCAAAATACTTAGCATGAATAAATATACGAGGGATCGATAGCTTTCAAGATGTGACAGAGTTAGAACCTTCGAAATGATAGCCACAACCAGCGTGATATCACTAGTGGTTTGAGCTGACTTATACGTTCAGCATTTGACAAATTTTCTCAAAACACTAATAAACAGTTAAGATCGACATCGTTCTAACTTGCTAATGTAATAAATACCGGGAAAATCTACATAAGGCGAACCGACTTCGAACTGACCAATGCTGCTTGGTCAACTTTTCAGCTCCACTACTACTCAAATTAGCAACTGACCAATCAAACAACACCATCGAAATTTATAAATTGGATTACTGCTGGACAATACTAGCTAAGTTATAAATAGCCAATTCGTCAGGTATCGGTTCCGTTCTTCACGAAACCACTATTGGTCAAGATCCATAGAGTTACAATTCAATAAAACTAATATAAGGTACAATATAACATTGGCCAAACACCATTCCAATCAGATCGGATTGTGACCCCAACAAAAACTAAGACAATAAAATCTAGTCTCTGACGTCAATCTCAAACTTCTATTCCATCACAGACTACAATCCACATTCTTCTCTTTGAACGGCGAAACGAATCTGCAATGAAATAAATAAATAACAAAATTTCATATAAACGTAATTCACAATCTGTCCGTTCTCCTCTGCAGAATATGTTGTCATGCATTGTAGTTTTGGCATTAAGGAAAATTAATAAAAAATATATGTATGAAATTGATTATTCAAAATCAAAACCATCTATCCCATTTTTAATTTCGGGAAGAATCTACCTAGCGAGGACAATGTAAACCTACCTAGTCAGGGAGGAGTAGCTAGTGAGGGGCATATAGTACCAACTTAGCGAGGGACATGGTACCTAGAGTGGGATATAGTACCAACTCAGCGAGGGACATGGTAACTAGAAAGGGATATAACACCAACTTAGGTAAGGACATGGTATCTAGAGAGGGATATAGTACCAGCTTAGCGAGGGACATGGTACCTAGTGTGTGGGATATAGTACCAACTTAGGGAGGGATATGGTACCTAGAGAGGGATATATTACCAACTTAGGGAGGTACATGGTACCTAGAGTGGGATATAGTACCAACTTAGGGAGGGATATGGTACCTAGAGAGGGATATATTACCTACCTAGCAAGGGACATATACCATAGTGAGTGAAAGTGTACCTAGCAAGGGTCAGTGTACTTAGCAGGGACATAGTATCAACCTGTCAAGGGACAGAGTCCCTAGAGAGGGATATAGTACCTACCTAGCAAGGGACAAAGGACCTAGTTAGTGACAGTGTTCCTAGCGAGGGACAGAGAACCTAGAGAGGGACATGGTTCCTAGAGAGGAATAGTTCCTATCTAGCAAGAGACATAGAACATAGTGAGTGACAGTGTTCCTAGCGAGGGACAGGATACTTAGCAGGAACATAGTACCAACCTATCAAGGGACAGAGTACATAGGGAGGGATATAGTAACAATTTAGCAAGGGACCTAGAGAGGGATATAACACCAATCAAGCGAGGGACATAGTACCAGTTCAGGGACAGAGTACATACCTAGCGAGGGACATGGTACCAGTAGTTGATCTGACGCTGGATGCACAAAGGGAACAACACCATATGTTCCTCCTCAAAATGCTGGACGAACTTCCTCTCCAAGTACAGGTCATTCCATGGCAGCTCTTTGGTCAGTACTACGGACAACTCTAGTTCATAGTAAAACAACATCATGGCGTTTGACCTTTTTGAGAAGTTCGCCTTGTCTTTCTTACGACTCCCGGAAGGCTTCCACAATAATCTCCTTTTAACCTGGCACGGGGCAGTACCGCAGTGACGGCAGAGGGAAGGGCCTGCACAAACAAATATTTAATATGCCAAGACAAATTTTCGAAATCAATTGTTTAAGTTTTCGACACACAAAACATTGCTTTCTATGCATCCTGAGATTTTATCAGAACGGAACCCGGGACTAACAGTTACCTATCTGACTGGTTCCAGACACGCAAATCTGACAAATTACAAGGTTTATAGAAAGTGGTTCCCGTTCTTTAAACATGACCAAAGAGCTACTCTGAGATGAAAGTCTTTCAAGATAACAATTACACTGTATGTTACCAAACAATTCACTTAAATATTTAATCAAAACATTGCTCTGAAAACACAGGTATGCAAGATTCTGAAATGGTTTCCAAATTAGCAAACTTGTATCATCCGTTAAGGTAGTTTTTACAACACTAGATTCATACAAAAAGGTCCATTAATTTTCGAAAACGTCTTAATTACAAGGTAAACAGAACACTAGAATTGAAAGTGTGAAAACTGATACTTTCATTAGACTGCAGCTTTATTCAATAGTTCAACCTAGGCTGGTCACTTACGAGCTCTCCATTCTTGGAACATTGACACGGCTGCTGACCATTTCTCTTTGACGATTTGTCCGATCGACGGCGCATAGCCCAGCAGCATAGTAAGAAGCACGCACATCAGGTTATTGAATAGCTCGCTTCCATTTCGCTGAAATAAATCAAATCATATTTATTTTCAGGGAATTGCGCTATAATACAATCATTCAATGTTCAAAGCCGCAAATTCCTAAGATACAACTGGACGCTAACAAAGCATAGCTGGTGGCTAATAATATTGCGAAATACACACAAGAAAATCATACAAAAAGAACACGCGTAAAATATACAAGGTATTTATTAAATTGATGAGAAGTAGAATCAGCTAAACATCATCACAAGCATAAGCTTAGTTTTTTGTTAGTTTAAACATATTTTATTGCAATATAATTACAAAAGGATTGGACACAAGTTATTGCAACTTACAAACGCCCTTTCCATAATGGTTTACAACATATAAATATAATGCAATATCTAATAATACATAAATTAACTTACAGCAAACACATACTTGAGAGAGAGAGAGAGAGAGAGAGAGAGAGAGAGAGAGAGCTTATAACAATGTTGACCCAGTTGGACTATAAACACATTCATTACGCACTACAAATTGTTCATCTCAATCCTGAAAAACTTTCCTCTTCCGTAACCACGCAGATCCTCTTCTTTTCCGTAGTCTTTCATCTTAATAATACCAGCTGGGCCAACAGTGTTACCTTAGCAGTTGAATAAGTGATAGCACAATACTACAGTAACATCGGATAATGAAATTAAAACAATTAAATATATAGCGTTGTGCACTTTTCTTTAAAATCTTTTGCTAGATTTAATGAAATTATGAACGTATAAAAAGACTTCCGAATTTGTATCAAGCGACAAATCTTCATTTCCAAATAAAAGCAAATCTAAATCACATGGTACCTCTAAACTCAAATCATTTACTCGCTGAAAAAGGATGTTTCTTTCAATACTATAACTGCGACATTGAAAGAAAAAGTGATAAACATTTTCACAAATATGTCCACAAATACAGCTAGGGGTTTCCACAAGGTTCACACGGAATAAGTCATAATTTAGAGAACTGCAACGGTGTCTAAGCTTCGTGTGAATAACATTTAACTTACGGTCGCCATTACAAAAGTACGAAGGAGGAATAAATTGATCGTTGGGTTTCAGGGAATTTTTAAAGATATTCAATGAAGCTGATGACCTAATAGAGTTATCGAGGGTATTCCAACAGCGAAGAGTTGACGGTAAAAAAGAAGAGTTTGTTGTTGATAATCTGAAATACGGGATTCTATAATCATTTCTGTTTCGCAAAGGATAGCGAACTAGATCTTGTACAGTGGAGGAAAGCAGGGAAGAAAAATAGTCTGGTGTTTGATTAACATGCATTTTAAACAAGAGTTGAAGCTTTCTTCTTTTTCTTCGAGCAGACAATGTTTCTAAACCTGTTTCAAAATTTAAAGAATATATACTAGCATATGATGGGAGACCTGTTATAATTCGAGCGGCTTCACGTTGGGCTTTTTCTAACTTTTCTGATTCGAAACTAGAGCATCCATCCCACAATTCGCATGCATATTCTAAAATAGGTAAAATAAAGGTTCGGTAAATTCTTAATAGGGCATCTCGTTTTAATAGAAATTTTAATTTTCTTAAGACATTTATTTTTTTCATAACTGAAGAATACACTGCTTCTATATGATCCCCCCATTTGACACTGGAGTTGAGAGTAACACCTAAATGCTTATGACTATCTGAAAAGTCTAAAATGTTCCCGTCAAATTCTAATTCTAATAATGCATCTACGTCATTTCTATTGGAGAAAAAAAGTACATCAGTTTTGTCCGGATTAAATGTTACCAGCCAAGTTTTAGCCCACGAGTTTAAAGATTCCAGGTCTTTATTTAGGATAGTTTGAATTTCAAGACAGGAAGAGGAAGAGCATTGGAGAGAGGTGTCATCTGCGAAAAGACGAGATGCTGAGTCAAAAATATCAGCTATATCGTTGATATAAATCAAAAATAACAGAGGACCTAAGATAGAACCTTGGGGAACCCCTGCATCAATAGAACCTAATTTCGAGAAAGACTCATTAACACATACTTTTTGCTGCCTTTGATGTAAATAATCCTTCAACCAGACCAATAACTCTCCGCCTATTCCATAGGATTTTAACTTTATGTACAAACCATTATGCCAAACTCTATCAAAGGCTTTTGAAATATCACAGAAGACAATACATGTATGTTTTTTTTCTTCAAGTGATAAACATATGTTATGATACATTTCAATTAATTGGTATACCGTTGAATGTCCTGGAAGAAAACCAGATTGATATTTATAAAACAACGAATTTTCAAAAAAATAATTATAGATATGTTTGAAAATAACACGTTCAAATACCTTACCAACAGTAGACAAGAGAGAAATTGGTCGGTAATTTAAGGGAGAATGTCTATCACCTTTTTTGAATAATGGCATAACTTTTGCAAGTTTCCACAACTTAGGATAAACACCAGCAGACAGTGAAATATTAAATAGTAACTCAAGAGGTTTACAAATAGTATGGCAAACATTCTTTAACATGTAATGGCTTATTTCGTCCTGGCCCGAGGCTTTGCCGAGTTTCAGTATTTGTAGGACATCCATAATTTCAGTGTAATTTAATCTAATTGAATCAAAAGTTTTATTGGTTTTCGGCGCAATATCCGGAACCCGAACATTACGTTCGTTAATACGAGTTATACTACAGAAATATTCATTTAATAAGTTGGATTTACCTTCATCACTACTAATTATATTCTCAGTTACTGGATCTACTAGAGTTGGTATAGTCTGTGATGTACCACTAGATTTCATCAAACGTTTAATTAATCTCCAATACGCTTTAGGATCAGAAGAAAAATAATCATCAATGATGCCATGGACATTTTCATAAAAATCTAAACGACTATACTTTTTCATATTATTTACCTTATTACGCTGACTTTTAAACTTTTGAATGTCATGAAGACGATTTGATTTCCTAGCAATTTTATGTAACCTATCCCGTTTTCTTATATTTTTTCTTAAATCCGAAGTCATCCAAGGTTTGTCGTTTGGCCTGATCATAACTTCCTTAGTAGGTATACACATTGTAGCAAATTCTATAAATACATTAGTAAAAGTTTCACAAGCAATATCCACTGATTCACAGTTTAGAAAAGACCCGTTCCAGTCGTACTGTGATATAAGATTATTTAACGTTACAAAATCGGCTCTTTTATACAACCAGACCTTACGTTTATACACAGATTTAAAGGCACACGGTAGTTCTACACTAACAATACAGCCTTGGTGATCACTGACTGTTCTATCTATATTTATGACAGAGGAGTCAATACAGGATAAAGAATCGCTTAAGAAAATTGGATCGAGTAAGCTAGATCTAGTCTGACCTATACGTGTAGGTTCCAGTATAACATTTGATAAACTAAAAGAACTAATTATATCTAAGAAAACATGGTTTGTTGCAACAGTTAACAAGTCTACATTAAAATCCCCAGTAATGATTAAATTTGGTGAAATGTCGAAAGCATTATATATAGATGCTCGCAAATTATCCCAGAACGGTAAGACTGAATTTTCGGGTCTGTATATGGTACAAATAATAAAACTGGTATGCTGTAAGATGACTTGTATCCAAATTGCTTCGTCGCCATGATATTCAAGGTTTGCTAAGCGGTTTACTTTTAACAAACTATTAACATAAACAATAACACCACCCCCCGCAAAGTTTCTATCTAGTCTAAAAGGAGCATGGAATCCTGGTAAAAGTATATCTTCGGAGAGGACATGGTCATCTAAGTGACTTTCAGTAAGACATACAATATCATAATCTCCTGCTATGTCTTCAATATAATCCATCTTATTTCTAATACTTCTAATGTTAAGATGAAATACTGAAAGCTCGCCCGAACTCGGACCAGGATTAGATTCAACATCCATATACATTAATAAAAGAAGCAGGAGAATAACAGAAAAATTTGAATTTCGAAAGCAAGAAAAGAGAAAAACGCTTAAAAGGTTAATTAGGTTTTTCATACAGTCATAATTTACCGTTAGACTGAGGCATCCGTATGTATGTGTATACAAGATCGGACTGGAGATTTGATGAATATCGCATGACAATAAAAGTTTTAGCAATAAAACGAGAACAATACTATTTTGCTTAATTAAAGCTTGCATACAGCTTAGATATGCGAATAGTATACTTGAATAAACAGCTGTCTTAAACAACGTGGCGAAGGAATCTGTCTTGTTAATAAAATTCAATCGTTTGCCTATAGAACGTGTTTTACAATAATAAATACCAATGGCACACCTCCATGTATCAGTACAACATCCCATCAAGGAGGGTAAAAATGACAATTACTAGTAATATCTAGGTGGCCAGTGGTAGTTTCACGCTCATAAAAATATGAAGTCATCCGATGAACAGGATATGAAGAGTAAGAAAGAAAGGAATAAGAGTGACAGGTGGGATTTGAAGAATAAAGTGATAGGTAAAGATATATCGAGAGTAAAAAGGAAAAGGAAAGAGGAATAGAAATATGAGAAAACACAAATATGTACATATTTAGAGCAGGATGGTGAACCATAGAAGGTGGGTGATAGACGACTCTGTTGTGGTATAAGGTAAGTATATATTGGTTTAAACAGAGCCTAGCATTTTATTTGTTTAGTTTTAGGGACTAGGCAAGATTCCTATTCGTTATAAAACAGTAAATAAAGCATATAACATTAGGACAATGGAGGAGAAAAAAAGTGAGGTACATGTAATTAAACATAATGTACGGTAAGTATGGAATATAAAGCACACTAAATAAGGGTTACAGGTATCGGCTACGATTCATATTATACAAAATGTCCGGTAAGTATCAAATATATCCATCAACAAATAGGGGGGAAAAAATAATAATACGCATGTGTTAAGCATACGGCCAAAAAATATATATGTATATATTACAGCACATTTACAAACAAAATTGTGTTTTAACTGAAGCGTATAATTTCTGTACTAGATGGGTAAAGTTCAATACTAAGGCAGAACATGTGTAAAAAA